AGATATGTAACATTTGAGTTTTCATATATTGGGTGAGGTTTTTAATTACTATTTTTTTAATTTCCTACAAATATTTACAAAAAGACCATCTTGCTGGCCTAGAGCTAGCAAAACATCAATTTCAAAAAGTGAAATCTCGCCAGGTGTGGTGGCTCACACCTGTAATCCCAGCACTTTAGGAGGCCGAGGTGGGCAGATCACTTGAGGTGAGGAGTTCAAGATCAGCCTGGCCAATATGTGAAGCCCTTTCTCTACTAAAAAATACAAAAATTAGCTGGGCATGGTGGTGCGCACCTGAAGTCCCAGCTACTTGGGAAGCTGAGACAGAAGAATCGCTAGAACCCAAGAGGCGGAGGTTGCAGTGAGCCAAGACTGCGCCACTGCACTCCAGCCTGGGCAACAGAGCGAGACTCCATCTCAAAAAAAAAAATGAAATAGTGAAATCTGGATATCTATTCCTTGCTCTCAAATGAGTCAGAAAAACATAATTATACACATACATGCATATATACATAAAGGAAGAGTAAGGCAAACATGGTATAATGTTAATGCTTGAGGAATCTGGATTAGTGTATTCAAGGGTACTTAGTATTATTCTTGAAACTTTTCTGTAAATTTTAAGTTATTTCATAAAAATTTATAACTTAGGATCTTGTCATATGATTAATAGGATAAATGATGATTTTTATAAGAACATTTATTTTCTATCTTGTGAACTTTTTTTTCATATCTTTGGCCTGCTTTGTATTTAGATTTTCACATTTACCTTATTCATTTCTAATAATTCTAAGCCTATGAAGTCTTTATCTGATTTGATAGTTCCTCAGAAAGCCATTTGCCTTTTCACTTGAGTCTATGTGATATTTCACATGATGTAATCAAATCTATCTGATGTTTCCATGAAGTATTTTGCTTTTATACTATGGTTGTAAAGCATTACTTATCTCAAGTTTACATATCCACCTGCATTTGCTTCTGGTTTGAAAAAACAAAAAGAGGAGAAGGAGATAGAAATGTATAGTATAGTAGAACTGAGAAATTATTTATATATTTCCTAATCTGATGCTCAATTTAAAGGAGAAAATAATTCTGATGAATTTTATCTTTTAAAATAGATTTAACATTTTTAACGTGACTGTGTGCTTTATCTCTGTGATAGCTGTGTAGTTACCACAGAACGAAAAGATTAAAGATGTAGACATAACATATGCATGAAAAAATTTTTTTCAAATGTTTAGACTAAAATGTTTTACAGAAGTAACACTTTTGTTAAACTTTCTCTGTATATTGGGTGATATTTAAATGTAATGTGAACCTAAAATTTTATCTGGGATGTGCCACAATCTAACCATATCCATGGCTTTTATGAGTTAGACATAAACTCGTTATGTGGAAGACAACGAATATCAATGAATATTCAGGAAGTCAGAGAAATCTAAATCTATTCTATGTAAATATCCTGAATCGAAGTTTTCCATTTAGTAACAGTATACCACTGTGGTTGAGGCTGCTGGCTTTAGCTCTAACAAGATGGGTTCAAATTGTGGCTATGCTGTGAAATAGTTATGTGATCTAAAGCAAGTTATTTAATGTCTCTGTACTTTGGTTTCCTCATCTGTTAGCTAAGATACCAATACTTATTAACTCATAGGATTTGGGGAAAGATAAATGAGTCAATACATGTAAAACATTTGGAATTGGGACTGCTCCATCAAAGTACTCAATGCATTAGCTATTTTTTGTAATCGTGTCATGTATTTTAGTCTCATCTAAAAACTATGTCTGCATTTTGGTCAAAGGGAATAAAAACTATAAAGAATTTAAGTTTAAAACCTCAGAAGTCAGGGTTTCATTGTTATTCTTCACTAAGTGTATAGCTTTTATGCACCCAACAACAGAGCAGAAAAATAACACAAAAACTACTGGGAATGCAGGGGTAACATCGTTAAAAATACATAAGCACTGAAGCTTTTCATAATCCTTTTTCAGTATCAAACAGTCCAAGTATACCAAAAAATAAAAACATAAAGAAAAATACAATTAACAAACTTAAAAGCAATAGTATGAATACTTACATACCTAAATAGAGAATGTACATTTTTACAGTAATAGAACATGAACAAAAATCTACCAGGTACCTATTCACACAGAAATCATAAACTTATTCAAAATAGTGTGGCTAATGCTGTTTTATCACGATTCCACCAAATCAGAAATAAAAGTAAAATAATGATGAAAAGTGTTAAAACACTTAAGAATTAAGAACTCATTGATAGTATGGAGATTCCTTAAAGAACTAAAAGTAGATCTACCGTTCAGTCAAGCAATCCCACTACTAGGTATTTACCCAAAGGAAAAGAAGTCATTATATGAAAAAGACACATAAGCAAAGCGTGATGCCTCATGCCTGTAACCCCAGCACTTTGGGAAGCCAAGGGAGGGAGAGGATCACTTGAGCCCAAGAGTTCAAGGCCAGCCTGGACAACACAGTGAGACCTCATTTGAATTTAAAAAGAAAAAGACATATGCGCAGTCATGTTTATAGCAGCACAATTCACAATTGCAAAGACATGGAACCAATCTAAGTGCCCATCAACCAATGAGTGGATAAAGAAAATGTAGTATATATACACCACAGAATACTACTCAGTCATAAAAATAAACAAACTAATGTCTTTTGCAGCAACTTGGATGGAACTGGAGGCCATTAATCTAAGTGAAGTAACCCAGGAATGGAAAACCAAATTCCATTATGTTCTCATTTATAAGTGGGAGCTAAGCTATGAGGATGCAAAGATGTACATAATAAATTTTGGGGACTCTGGGTAGGAGGAGGGAGGTGAGGAGTAAAAGACTAAATATTGGGTACAGTGTACACTGCTCAGGTGATGGGTGCAGTCTCAGAATTCACCACTCAGAATTCTCAGAATTCACCACTACAGAATTCATCCATGTAACCAAAAACCACTTGTACCCCAAAAGCTACTGAAATTTTTTTAAAAAGAATTCATTGATAACCCATGGGTAGAAAGAAATCAAAACAACTTATATCAATGTTACTGATAAAAGAACACTTCAATCCAAAAAATGGGATACCATGACAGTTATACCAGCAGAAATATTGCATCCATCTTAACCCTTTTATTCAAAAAAGAAAGTGATTTTTTTTTTAGAGACAGGGTCTCCCTCTGGCACCCAGGCTGGAGTGCAGTGGCACAATCATAGCTCACTGTAACCTCAAACTCCTGGGCTCAAGTGATCCTCCCACCTCAGCCTCACAAGGAGCTGGAATTTTGGGTACAAGCCACCAAGCCTAGCAGAACTCAGATATCTTAATAAAGAAATTTATTAGTACTTGTTTTAGTCAGCTCAGGCTGTTGTAACACTCATTTCTCACAGTTCTAGAAGCTGGGAAGTCTGAATCAGAGCACCTGCATGGTCACAGTCCTGGTGAGAGTTCTCTTCCTGGCTTGCAAATGGAAGTCTTCTTGCTGTGTCCTCACATGCAGAGAGAGAGAGACAGAGAGAGAGAGAGAGAGAGAGAGAGAGACACAGAGACAGAGACAGAGAGAGGCAGAAAGAGAAAAGGAAATATCTCTCATGTTTCTTCTTCTAAAGGTACTAATCCCATCATGAGGGCTCTGCCTTCACAATCTAATCACCTCCCAAAGGTCCCATCTCCAAATACCATTATATTGGAAGTTAGGGCTCCAATATACGCATGGGGTTGGGGGAGGAACAAGGAACACAATTCAGTCTACAGAAGTACTCTTAGTAAAAATGTTATAAAACCAGAAAAATAATAGAAGAAAATAAGCCCAAAAAGATGAAATATAAAATTGGTCAAGAAAAAAGTTCAATGTAATGAAATAAAAATAAACTATAATAGCCAATGTAAACAACCTAAAAGCTTATACTTTTAAAAGCTCTATAGAGAAACCCCTTTTGAATCTATTTGTGTAAAAAACGTTTGTGCATGTGTGTGTATGTCTACATCTGTGTGTGTATGATTAAAAACAAGAAAAAAATGCATTCCTGAGAAATTAAAATAATTATTTAAGACTGTATATAAGTACAGGGCAACCAATCTGCCAACTTATAGAAAAGAGATCATTCCCTAGAGAAATATAAAAGTTATTAAAAACTGATCCAAATAGAAGTAGAAAGCTTGAATAATTTCCTTAGAAGAGTTTGAAAGAAGAATTTAAAAGCTATCATTTTTAAAGAGAACAGAACCAAGTGATTTCACCAATGAGTTCCATCTAATTTCTAAGATGCATGGAATTCTAGTATTATTTAAACTATTCCAGGTCATAGAAAAATATTAAAATCTCTACAATTTACTTTGGAGGTTAACATTATCTTAATATCCAAACCTGACAGTGGACCAAAAATACACATAATTCAATGCCATTAAATAAAATATAATTTCCAGCAATATATCAAAAATGTTTAATAGTTTACTCAGTAGAGTCCATTCCAGGAATACAAGAATGGACCAATATTAAGAAAGGTGTCTTCATAATTAATTACATCAAAAAACTGAAGATTAAACCATATAACTATAATAATGAATGACAAAAAGTATTTCATAAAAACTTAGTCATTCCTAATAAGAACTAGGTAATTTAGTAACCAAATAATAGTATTTAAATAAGACAATGCTTCTTAACAAAACACATTAATACATAATAAAAATAATCCTTAGACTTCTCTGATGAAATATCTAAGAGACTCAGTATAGCCAAATGCCTCAACTACAGTAAAATTTGGCAGTGAGAGAGAATAAATTACAAATTTGAAATTTAATATATATATAATCAAAATATATATATATTCAAACTCATAAACATACATATATATCTATGTACTATATATTCACACACAGAAATACCACCAAATTCATATATAAAAATGCATATGTATCCCTTCACAGAAAACATACACAATATACCTAATTATACATTTATATTTATTCTCTGTTAAAATTACTAGTTTACCTGTTTGGGATGTCGGAACAAGGAATTCTTATAGAAAATGTCCTTAGCCTGGCTCCATGTACCATCAATGATGATGATTGTGAAGGATAAACAGGAGAATCTAATATAAATTCTTCCAAATTAGCAGCTTCAGCCCCGGGATATAATATTAATGTACCAGACTTCCGGCAAACAGTTGAAAGTTCAGGATCTCTGAAAAAGTTTTTTAAAAATATATCTGTATTAGCTTGTGAGGAAAAAAGGTTTTATTATGCTTACTGAATTTCCTAATAAAAGTTTCCCTATATCTAGTCATTTGTCTAATCAAATATAGGTATTAATTAGTTTATAAAGTGTGAATTTAAAACACTCAAAATTTTGTGTACTCTCTACTCATTTATTCACCACAATTCTGCCACTCACCTCTAGGCTTTCCAATCCTCACTATTCTTCTATTCTTCTCTATTAAAGCTTTTCTATCCAACTGCCAGTGACATAACTTTAGCCCTTCCAAAGAATTCTTCCTTTTCTCACTAATATTTCATGTGTAATCTGATCCACTTTATCAAAGTAAACAACTGGCATTGCCTAACAATCCTAGCACAAACAATCCTAACAATCCCAGGGCAAAATCTAGTAGCAATGGAAGAACCATAAGGAAAAGTTAGGTTGCACAGGCAAGTCACATTCTCAAATTCACCTTTGTTAAAGCCAACTAAATATGGCCTGAGAAGGATTCCATACTTCTAAATTTGAGTCCGTGTGGATGAAATCTAACCTATCTTAATAGGCAGACAAGATTGAACATCTAACTTAGGAGTACGCACCTGTAACAATAGCTGAGTCTTGGCCAATCCCAGTGGCCACACTTCAACCACTTACAGACTGCTAAGTGTTCAAACTGTGTTCAAATAAGGCACACCCCAACCTGTAACCAATCCAGCTGTTTCCGTACCTCACTGCTGATTTCTGTATGTCACTTCCCTTTTTTTTTCTCATCTACAAATTTATTCTGACCACAAGGCATCCCTGGAGTCTCTCTGAATCTGCAGTGATTCTGGGGGCTGCCCGATTCATGAAGTGTTCATTGCTCAATTAAATACCTTTAAATTTAATTTGGCTGAAGTTTTTCTTATAACACCTTATATATGATCTATTGAAGGAAACCAAAATATTTCACTTCAAAATATACTTATTTGACATACGTTGAGACGGCTGTTTAGAGGGCTTGCAAACAGCAGTAGCCTTGAAAAGCTGTTGCATCTGTAGAGAAAAACAGATGGCAGCCAGGCTTTCTCTGAGGACCTTCCCTTGTCCAGATTTAGGAAATAATAACTGAAAGTCTGACAACCTTAATTGTCTGAAAGAAATATTTACCCTCTATTCTCCATGAAGGCTGCTATCTGTGCAGTTTCATCTGCATAACAAGACCACTTGTGCTAGCCAGGCCTCCTCTTCTTCCCGTTCCATGTGTTTTTGCCATAATAACCGGCTTTGCCAGGCTCTAAGCCCCTATTCTTTCTGTAAACCTCAAGATGACATAAAAGCATCAACCATCTGGCCATTTCTTTGAGTTCTTATATCTCATAAGACTCCCTTACACATTAATAAATTTGTATGCCTTTTCTCCCTTTAATTTGTCTTTTGTCAGATGGTTTTCAGCAGACCTTCAGAGGGTGAAGAGGAAGGTTTCCCTTGGCCCCTACACCATCATCCAGTTCAATTATAGAGTTTGTTGGTTCAACATTCATTCAAAAATGTGTCAAAGCTTTTTGGTAATGGAGATAAAACAACGAATGAGACACCCTTTGCCCACAAGCAAAAAAACAAAACATTAAGGGGAAAGTAGACAAATTATCATTGTTCTTGGAAATATAATTTGGACTTCCAATTTCAGCTCAGAAATAAAGAGCTTGAAAGTCATCAAGCCCATCTTCACAAGAAAAATGCTAACAAACTGAAAATTAACAACTTTTCTTAGATCCATCAGAGAACTGAGGCCCCAGGGCAAAAACTCCAAAAACCAGAGGAAAAACAAAGTAACCATCTCGAAATAGCCCACAGCATTCTCCATAACAAAGGCCTTTCCCTCAAGAGAAACTACTTACCACAGCTTTTTTTCTACCTATTATTTAACCACAAAAAGAAATTAAGTACTAATGTATGTTACAACATACGTGTTACAACCTTGAAAGCATTATGCTAAGTGAAAGAAGCCAGTCACAAAAGTCCAAATACAGTATTTCATTTATATGGAATATCAGATATCAAATATGAATATCAAATAGGAAAATCAATAGAAACACAAAGTAGACTAGTGTTTGCCTAGGATTGGGAAGGTGCAGGGAGTTGGAAAGGATGGAGGGCATAGGGATAGGTAAGTAATAGTTAAAGGTAGAGGGTTTCTTTTTGAGGTGATGACATATTTTAAATTGGTGATGGTTGCAAATATCTTTGGATATAGTAGAAACCAATTAATTTGTACATTTTAAATTGGTAAGTTAAATGGTATGTGAATTACATATCAATAAAACCCTTTCAAAAAAAAAAGGGGAGAAAGATATATGATAATACTAATCAAAAGATAATTCTAGGCCAGGCACAGCGGCTCACCCCTGTAATCCCAGCACTTTGGGAGGCCGAGGCAGGAGCACTGCTTGAGCCCAAGAGTTCAAGACCAGCCTAGACAACACAGTGAGACCCCCATCTCTCCAAAAACGTTTAAAAATTAGCCAAGCATGGTGGCGTCCACCTATAGTCCCAGCTACTCGGGAGGCGGAGGCAGGAGAATCGCTTGAGCCTGGGAAGTCAAGGCTGCAGTGAACGATGATTGTGCCACTACACTCGAGCTTGGGCAACAGAATGAGACCTTGTCTCAAAAAAATAAAAAAAGGTAACTGCAATAGCTATATTAACTACAGACAAAGCAGACATCAGAAGGAAAATTATCAGGATGAAGAGAGGCATTACATAATGGCAAAAGAGTCAATTCTCCAAGAAGACATAAAAATCTTTTAACATGTATGTACTTAACAATTCACTGTTCACAATATGTAAGGCAAAAACCAATAGAACTGAAAAGATAAATAGACAAATCCAGTAATATAGTTGGAGACTCAGTACAACCTTGTCAGTAACTGGTAGATCAAGCAGGCAAAAAATCAGTAAGGATATTGTTGGCCTGAACAGCATTGTCAATCAACTTGATCTAATTGATATTTATAGAATAGTTCACCAACAACAAAATACACATTCCTCTCAAGTTCACATGAAACACTCACCAAAACAGACCACATTCTGGGCCATAAAACATACCCCGACAAATTTAAAATAGAAATCATACAAAGTATGCTCTCAGACTACAATGGAATTAGAGCCAGAAAACTTGCTGGAAAACTCCACAATATTGGAGAATAAACAACACACTTCTAAATAAACCACGGGTCAAGAGATAAGTCTCAAGGGAAATTTTTAAATATTTTGAACTAAACGAAAATGAAAATACAACTTATCAAAATGTGTGGGATGCAGCAAAAGCACTGCTTAGAGGGATATTCGTAGCATTAAAACACACATATTAGGAAAGAGGAAAGACCTGAAAATCAACAGTCTGAGCTTCCTCCTTAAAAACACAACAACAACAACAATAAAAGTTAGATAGGGCTGGGCATGGTGGCTCATGCCTCTAATCCCAGAGGCAGGAGGGTCACCTGAGGCCAGGAGCTCAAGATCAGCCTGAGCAATGTAGCAAGATTCTGTCTTGACCAAAAAAAAAAAAAAAGGCTAGAGAAAGAAGAGCAATTTAAGCCTAAAACAAGCACTAAAAAAAGAAAAGAAAGAGTAAAACCTAAGATGGAAATCAATGAAGTTCAAAATAGGAAGACAACAGAGAAAATCAATGAAACCAAAAGCTGACTGTTAACAGAAGGAATTGTGTCCTCCCCAAAATTCAAATGTTGAAGTCCTAACCCCTAGTAGCTCAGAATATGATGGTATTCAGAGACTGATAAATCACCTTTAAAGAGGTGATGAAGTTAAAATGAAGCCATTAGGGTGTTCTCTATTCTAATCTAACTGATATGGTTATAAGAGGAAATTTGGACACAAAAGAAGAGATGGCAGGGGCACACCTGTTCAGAGGGACAACTATGTGAACAAGCAATGAGAGGGCAACCAACCGCAAGCCAAGGAGAGGCCTCAGGAGAAACCAAATCTACTGACCTCTTGATCTTAAAGAGTTCTAAACTCAAGAACTGTGGAAAATAAACTTCTCTTTGGCCACCCAATATGTGGTATTTTATTATGACAGTCCTAGCAAAATAATACACTGGTTCTTTGAAAAGATCAAATAAATGGATAAAACTACACCTAAGGTAATAAAAAAAAAAAAAAAAGAGCAAAGACACAACTACCAATATCAGAAATAAAAAACGGGGATCATTACTGATTCTATAGTCATTAATAATAAAGAAATACTACAAAAAACTCAATGCCCACAAATTTCATAGTTGAGAGGAAATTAATTCTTTGAAAAACAAACTATCAAAACTCACACAAGGAGAAACAGGAAAACTGAAAAGCTCTATGTCTATCAAAGAAATTGAATCAATAATTAATAATCTTCTAAAAAAACAAATCACCAGGCCCAGGTGGTTTCAGCAGTGAATTCTCTCAAACATTTCAAGATGAAATGGTATCAGTTCTCTACAATCTCTTCCAGATAATAAAAACAGACAGAACATTGCCTAATTCATTCCATAAGGCCAGCATTACCCGCATATCAAAACCAAATAAAGGCATTACAAGAAAGGAAAACTATAGATCAATATCCCTTATGAACATAAACACAAAAATTCTCAACAAAATACCAGCAAATTAAATCCAATATGCATAAAAACTTATCTACCATCACAAATCAGATTTATTACAGGGATGGAAGACTGGTTTAACATTCAAAATCAATAAATGTAATCAACCACATCAATGGACTAAAGAAGAAACATCAAAGGACTGTACCAATTCACAAAGAAAACGTACTTGACAAAACCCAAAGCCCACTCATGAGAAAAATTCTCCACAAGCTAGGAATAGGGGAGAATGGCCTCAATTTAATACAGAACATTTGCAAAATACCTATAGCTAGCATTATACATAACAGTTCTCTAAGACTGAGAACAAAACAAGGATGTCCTCTCACCACTGCTATTCAACCCCTAGCTACTGAAATAAGAAAAGGGAACAAAAGACATACAAACTGGAAAGATGAAATAAAACCATATATATTCCTCAGATGACATAATCATCTATATAGAAAAGCCCACGGAACTGACCAAAAAAATAAAAATTAAAAAAAAATAACCTCCAAGAACAAGTAAATAAGTACAGCAAGGTCACAAGATATAAGGTTAATATACAAAAGTCAACTGCTTTCCCACATACCAACAATGAAAAATTCACATTTGTAATTCTTTTAAATACCATTAAAATAGCCCTCCAAAAATGAAATTCTTAGGTGTGAATCTAATAAAATATGTAAAGTACCTGTATGTGAAAAACTACAAAACACTGATAAAAAGCAAAAAGGACCGGGCACAGCAGCTCACATCTGTAATCCTAGCACTTTGGGAGGCCAAGATGAGAGGATCACCTGAGGTCAGGAGTTTGAGATCAGCCTAGTCAACATAGCAAGACCCCATCTCAATTTATTTTTTAAAAAAAATTATGTTTATATGAATGAACAAAAAGGTTTAAAATCTGTTATCTAATCTTCTACTAAAAAAAAAGAAAAAAAGAGAAATTAAATCCGAAGCAAGAAAAAAATTGACAATGAAGAGTAGAAATCAATTAGAAAATCAAACAGAGAAAAATACAAAGCCAAATCTTGGTTCTTCAAAGAGATCTACCGAAACAGACTAAGAAAAAAGAAAAGACACAAATTACCTAAATCAGGAATTAAAAGAGGCTACCACTACAAATTCTACAGACATGACAATAACGATAAATAAATGCTACAAGCAACTTTATGACAATAAATTCAACAATTTAGATAACTTGTACCATTTCTTTGAAAGGTACAAAATATAAAAACTGACACGAAAATAAATAGAAAATACGAAATTCCTTATGTTTAATAAATGAATTATATTTGTAAGAAAAAACCATCCCACAAATTATAATATGACCAGGTGGGTTTTATCTTAGAAATAGAAGGGTTTTAACATGCAGAAATCCATCAATATAACACACTATATTAACAGAATTAAGGAGAGAATCTACATGATCATTTCAATAGATGGATTTCACAAAATTCAACAAACACCCATTCATAATTAAAATTCTCTGCACTTTAGAAACTGATAAATTACATTGTATAACATGGTTATTAGAGTTAACAGATTGTATACTTGAAAACAGCCATGAGGGCAGGTCTTAAATGTTATCACTGCAAAAAAAAAAAAAAGTAAAACTATTGTTATAAATTTGTTTAATACAGTGGTTGCCTTGACATCCATTTTAGGCCTGACATAAGTTATCCGTAATCCAGCCAACCCTGTCACCTTTGGCCTAGTTAAAACTTTCTCTCCCTGTGTGGTGTTTGCCATATAGCCTACTTGTTCCTCACTAATCCAAAACCCAACACATCCCATAGCTGCTAACCACAATAAAACCCAGAGTCATATGAATAATACCAGAGTTATATGAATAAGCTCCCCCTTCACATTGTTCTCTTTAAACTAGCCAGTCCACAACCCACAGGGAAATCCCAAGGGATAATCCCCACAGACCTTAATAAAGGCATAATCCCACAGGTCTCCTCTTCCCGCCCACCCAGCGGCTGAATCCCCTATTTCCAGACTTCCCTTTGGCCTCACATTGGCATCCTAACCTCTCTAGTATCTATGTGTAATAAACTTCTTTCCTTTCATGCATTTTGGCTTCACTTCCTCATTGTGTCTCTCCTGACACAGCCATACTATAGTATTCTCAACATTATTGAAAGTTTTAAACAAATCTTAACTGTGTGAGGTGATAAATGTGTTAATTAGCTTGACTGTGCTAATCATTTCACAATGTACACATACATCAAAACATCACACTGTACATGATAAATATAACTTTTATCTATCAATTATCCTCAATAATGCTTGGGGGGAGAAACATACAGCTAATATCATAGTTAATAATGTCCACAGAGTTTGGGACCAAGGTAAAGATATTGGCTTTCACCACTTCTAATAAACATTATACTAAAAGTATCAGTTATTGCAATGAGGCAAGGAAAAAGAAAGGATAAGTATCAGAAAGGAAGAAATATAAATGATCCCATTTGCAGATGACAATGCTGCTTACATAGAAAGTTCCAGGGAATCTACAAAACAATTTCTACAACTAACAGATGAATTTAGAAAGTTACTGGATACAGGGTTAATATATAAAAACCAATTGTTTTCTTATATACTAGAGGCAAAAATTTACAAAGGACACCAAAAGCAGTAAGTCTCTTAATCATTCCCCCATGATTTCATCATGTACTCTAACAAAAGCCTAAATTAATCATTCAGTTACTACATTTATATTGACAGTTCTAATCTGCTTTAATTTAAAATTCATCAGCAAATAATAATTTATTGGCCAGGCACAGTGGCTCATGCCTGTAGTCCCAGCTGCTCAGGAAGCTGAGGTGGGAGGATCCCTTGAGCCCAAGAGGTGGAGGTTGCAGTAAGCCAAAACTGCACCACTGCACGCCAGACTGGGCAACAAAGTGAGATCCTGCCTCGAAAAATAATAATAATAATAATTTACTAAGTAAGCACTATATTAGGCACCATAGGGAGAAAAAAAACTGAACTAAATCTAATACAAGAACCCTACCAAAGAAAAATGTTGTGGAAGATATTTTAAAAAAAAAAAAAAAGAACCCTACCATCTACCAACTGGAAGGCACTTTTAACAAAAATGATGTAAGCACCAAGTATATTTGCCTTTTAAGTTAAACATACTTTAAGTTAAAACATACTTTTAGGTTAAATATTCCTTTGCTTACACATTATTTATTTTTTTATTTCTGATTTTGTTTTGTTTTGTCTTGTATTATTTTGTGTGGTCGGGGGTTAGCAGAACTTAAATTTTTTGACTAATTTCCACTCTTTAGACCACGAATAACCCGAAAGAAATGAATAAGTTGAACGAAACCATTTTTAAAGATCTGTGTAGAAAAGAATTATTTACATTGCCCTAACAGTTAATTTACCTTTCTTCACTGAAGCGACGACCAATCTTTACTTTACACTTGTCCTGGGGGAGGCATGCTGCTAGTAGAGGAACTGTACGCAACACTTTGTTTTCCTTTAATTAAAAAATGAATTGAAACATAGATTTTTACTTAGATATACACACTTTTAAATATTTTATAATGAACATCTGATTCATAACTTTATGTATAACTTTTACAAGCCTTTTACTAAAGACCACAGTTTAATAAAAAGAGGTAAAATTTCTCTGATTTATCAGTATTAACCGTAACACAAGCATACCTTTTTATTCTATTTGGGTATGTTTACGGGTTTACTGATCAAAGAAGATTACATTAATATATATAATGAATAAGATTATTAAAATGTAAATTTGTGTTTAACTAAATTGAATCATTTATTCTGACAAGTTTTTCATTTCACAAGTAATTACATTTTGCACTATGTCAGCTTGAAGATAATTGCCTAGATCTTTATGCCCAAACAGCAAGGAAGTGCTCAGAAAACAAAACAATGGGTTCTTCCTAGCATAGCCTCTTTATTTAAATTAAAAATTTTTTTTAAAAAGGAAGACAAACAATGTGGTATGTCGAAGGGACATAGAAGTCAATCTTAAAGAGCTCCCAATGGCTAAAACTGAACAATCTGAGCAACAAAATAAATAACACAGTATTGGATTATAACCCAAAGTACAAATTAGAGTCTGGAATGATATAAATAAATGACTTAATAAATAAATGGGGGAGAAGAAACAAATCTTCCTTACAAAAGAATTCCAGATAATAAATGTAAATACTACCCCCTCCAGAAGGTGGAGCTTAGTCTCTTCCTCCCACTTGAGTGTGGGCCGGATTTATGGCCTTCCTTCCAAAGAATATAGAGTATGGAAAGAGAACAAAAATAATAACTTTAGAGTGGAGAAATCTGGTGGCCGTTTCTGAAAATGCCATTAACTTGACTGTCATCAGTGGTTTCTTCAATGTCCTAGCTTCCAACACTGGAAACCATCTTTCTTGTTGCCACGAGAATTCTACCTTGAATCCCATAGAGTCATGTGATTAGTCACTCTGCCTTAGGTGGTTTTAGGACATTTTCCAATGTTTAATACAGTGTTCTTCTCCCCTTACCATCACCATGAGACTGTGACACAGACTTAATCACTTTCTAAACCTTTATCAAAGTAATACATGTATATATGTCAAATTAAATAGTGCCAAAAGATTTAAAATGCCACAGTTGTTCCCAGATGTACTCCCCAGTACCACTTACTGGAGGCAATCACTTTAACTCTTTTGGCTATTTCTTCTGGTAGTTATCTCCATATAACCACATAATAAACTTTGTTTTTCTATTTCTTATCAATTTTAGATATTATCCAAAATCTACCAATTATCATCATAACAGCTAATATTAAGGCACACAATTCTAAGTGCAATACACAGAGAGAAATATATCTTTTGCCATATCCATTTTACTAATGAGGAAACTGAAACACAAAGATGTTAATTAACTTGCCCAAAGTTCCATAGTTTATAGAACTATTAAGAATTTGAGCTTGGGCAGTCTAGCTCCACAGCCCTTAAGTACTGCCTCTCATAACAAATGAGGATTTAGCTATCTAACACCACTCCTTCCTCTCACATCTAATATTATTAGTTAAGTCAATAAAGAGTGTTGCATCTTCACGACTAAATATACATTATTCACAAAGGCCAAGTCGTTTAACATTTCTTTCTCGTAAAGCTTTTTGTTATTTTTGAGATAGCTTTTCTGTTTTTATCCTTAAGTAATTTTATATATATGTATACCTACTCTTTGAAATGCTCCATCATATCACCTCCATATCATCTACTCCACCAAGTCTTCTTTTCCCAAAGCCCCCTTCTAAAGCCTATCTAAATGGTTTTTAATAACTTTTTTATGGGAGAGTCAAAAAACTAGCATATCCTTTTATTGGAAATGGTGTGCTGAAGTTAAGCACAGGCAGCCCAGCACTCATAAGTTAGATGAAAACTGGAAAATTCCTTTGCTGAGAATGGCTGGGCAGGGTGGCTCATGCCTATAGTCCCAGCTCTTAGGGAAGCAGAGGCTGGAGGATACCTTGAGCCCTGGGTTTGAGACCTGTCTGGGCAATATAGTGAGACCCCATTCTTAAAAACAGAAAAAAATAATAATAGAAAGTTCTTTGCTGAGAAGGAAAAACTGTATGGATGCATTTGTATATGCATAAAATATATTTGTAGCACACACAATGATGAATGCATCATCTAAACCATAGATTAATGGTAAAAAAAAAAAAATTAAAAATAAGATATCTGAAAACATTAAAAAAAAAAAAAAAAAAAAAGGCCAAGCATGATGGCTCATGTCCACAATTCTAGCACCGTGGGAGGCTAAGGCAGGAGGATCACTCAAGGCCAGGAGTTCAAGACTAGCCTGGGCAACATAGTGAGACTCCATCTCTACAAAAAATAGAAAGAAAACATTAATATTGCCACAAATCAATGAAAACACCCATATTAAAAAAGCTATCTTATATCTGGAACCACACAATAATGAAAAGGCGCCATACTGTGTCTACTGCAAAATGAACGCAGTACTTACCATCAAATCTCAAGTGGTTTGGGGTTTTGTTTTGTTTTGTTTTTTAAGATAGGGTCTTGCTATATAGCCCAGGTGGGAGTGCAGTGTCACAATCATAGCTCATTGCAGCCTAAAACTCCTGGGCAGAAGGGATGCTCCCACCTCAGCCTCCCAAGTAGCTAGGCCTATAGGCATGTGCCACCACACTTGGCTAATTTTTTTATTTGTTTATAGAGATGGGGTCTCACTATGTTGTCCAGGCTGGTCTCAAACTTGTAGGCTCAAGTTATCCTCCTTCTTCAGCCTCCCAAAGTGCTTGAATTATAGGCATGAGCCACCACTCCTAGCCTCAAAAGTCAGGTTTTAACCAAAACTGCTATGGCCAGCAAGCTATCATTTTACATAAATTTTGAGCTGTACAATGTTTTAAGTTTAAATGCAGTAAAATAGTGCTAGTGACCAAAATTGTCACAATCCTGACAAAAGCATGATGCTGTTAAGACTGAGAAAAAGGTTAGGCCAGGCGCGGTGGCTCACGCCTGTAATCTCAGCACTTTGGGAGGCTGAGGCGGGCAGATCACGAGGTCAGGAGATC